TAAATTCTCCGCAGTTACTTCCCATGGTTTAGTTTTTCTAGACTTTTCTTGAGAACGTATACAAGGGGGTAGTTTTCGTTGCTTTCCCTAGAGGCGCTAGTGCGCCACTTTTGATGTTTGATTTGAATACCTGATAGCACAGGCCAAGATACAAAATCCGCAATCTTATCCAGTAATTCAAATCGAAACTCTGATTGGTGCTAAATTGCTAGAGGATTTAATTTTGCCAGGATCGGCCAAGCGTCTTTCCTGAAATCGGTTTTACATGCCGACATGCGTTCGCATGCATGCCGTTGATTTTTGGCACCTCAAATATCTTCTCCGATTTTGAACGGGTTTGAACCCAGGAAATTGAGATCATTAATCCGGCATGATAACCACTATATCATCAAATTCGGTTTTTCTGTTACTGTTTGATTCATTCCATGCTACAAAGCAATCATGAAGAAGCATTGAATTGCGCACAGTAAATGTAGGGGCATGAAATCACTCCATCCGACGAGATGACTTTATGCCAAGTTTAGGTAACATTTTTCGTTCACAGGTATTTATTTAAATAAGTATCTCAACATAAAATAGACAAAGATTATTTTCAAATTTCATATACAAACAAGTATTTACGAAAATCTTCTCAAAGTGCCACAAACTCACCCCGGTTTACGGACAAGGCTGCACTAGTATATGTAAGGCTAGAGTGTAACAGTTTTTTTACATATCAAGAATATCAAAAAACCCTGTTGCTCAGCGCAAAACGTGAATATCAAATATGTACTGCTGGACGACTCCTTCCTGGGAGCCTTGCTGTCATAACATCTGGAGAGTAGTAAGCAGTGATATTGAAAGTTCAATTGGAACTCACAAAATAAAATTATACGGAACAGCACAATAAAATCTTTGCATTCTTTCAGTCAAAATATATACTTTTGGTCGGATCTCGCCATCGAGCGGGGGAAGATCACGTCCACTTGCCGTACTACATTTACGGGACCTTAGCAGTTGGCGCGCCCGGAAGCACTATTGAACCAATTGGTGAATTGAATTGAAGCCCTATTGGTAAAAGTAGGGTACACGGTACATCTTCAGAGAAGGTGTGAGGCGATGAGGTCTCCTTAATCTCCTCTCTCCCTGAAATTACACTACGCGCTTCTCTAGAAATGAATAAAACTTACGGCTAGGCGATTTTCATTTCTCGACCCTCATACGCTTTGTTCCCGCCGCATTTTAATGCCAATTTACTTTCAAAGGCAAATTTTCTCACTTCGCTCGCCCGGATCCAAGTCACAGCGAGGCTCGGGCCTTCGGCCCACGCGTTCACTATAACCATCCTTGAGCCTATCCACCGCATAGTTACCGATTCACTTTTACAAGAAAGCACTTTTCAAGAATCCCTCCACAATTTAAACTGCGCAGTTATCGCCAGAGCGGCGCGAAGTGCCGGTTTAAATGACTTCCGTAAGTTGTACCATGTACTACACTTCAGCCGTCCTATTTTCCGCGGCGGCGAGACTCTGGTAATGAGATGGAAATGAAGCCGTAGGCTTCCGCGGCCAGAGTCGTGTGAGTGATCTGGGCTGTACGGGTGACGCCGCGTCAAAGGCTGTGTTGCCGACGTTTCGACCATCCTGTCGTGGTCTTCCTCAGGGCTGGTATGGAGGAAGACCACGACAGGATGGTTGAAACGTCGGCAACACAACCTTCGACGCGGCGTCACCCGGACAGCCCAGATCACCCAGGCATACCAGCCCTAAGGAAGACACGATGGTCGAAACGTCGGCACACATGATGGTCGACCGTGGCAGGTGGTGATGTTCGAGAAGCGCGTGCCGGCGGGGCCGGGGGCGACGGGGCTGTCCGTCAACGTGGTGTTCAAGTCGGCGCGGCCTCTGGGGCTGCGCGCGCGCATCGAGCTGAGCGCCGCCTCCGCCAACTTCTCCGCGCAGTGCACCGTCAAGGTGAGGCAACAGGGCTGCCAACCGTCCTCCATCAACCTAGGTTGTCCTCGCGGCCTCCTTTGTATTTGAGAGTTGCTAACCGTCCTCCTTCAACCTCAACTGTCCTCTTGGCCTCCTTTGTATTTGAGAGTTGCCAACCATTCTCCATCAACCTCAACTGTCCTCTCGGCCTCCTTTATATTTGAGAGTTGCCAACCATCCTCCATCAACCTCAACTGTCCTCTCAGCCTACTTTATATTTGAGAGTTGCCAACCGACCTCCATCAACCTCAGTTGTCCTCTCGGCCTCCTTTGTACTTGAGAGTTGCCAACTGTCCTTTATCGACCTCAGTGTTGTCCTCTCGGTCCCCTTTGTATTTAAAATGGCATTCTTTTAGTAAATTTTTACCTTCTATTGTCATTTATTTTATCACATGACTAACATCTGGTACGCTAAATCGATTAATGTTTAATTTAGAATAGAAAACAGTTCTAAGAATTCTTTTTCTGAACGCTGACACACGAATATGACACACCGATACCTCGTTGTGTCTGTTAAGCGACTGAAATGAAAAAAAGACGCATACACCATCTTCATCTGCATTTTGTGATCTTATCTTTTCACTTGAATCGCAAATAGTGAAAAATGAAACGGAGCTGATATTTGTGTAAATGTAATATTGACAAAAAGAAATAACTTGATGTTTTTTTTCTTTTTAGTTTTCTTTTTTCTCTTATGAGTGTATTCCCTTTTACATGAGCATTGTTAGCAACCCTAGGTGTAATGGTCTTTTTCCACGGTACGGCGTTTGTGCTGATTCTCTTAGAGAAACTGAAGAGATACTTCAAGATCCCAAACTAGAAGTACAAAACCCAAAAGTTCTGTTTGCACGGTCTGCGCGTTTTCTGTACGAGTTGCCACGAGACCCCGCCACGGACTTTGCCGGCACACAAAATAATTGTACAATTGCGCCGCAAGAGTCCAGAGCTTATTGAGCTATTGCAATGAATCAAACGACATTTAATTGTAACGTTAACGATTTGTATCGTTTGAAAGAATCGTTTGACCCATTGGGGTAGATTTCCATACTATCAAAGAAGATATTCGTGAAATGTGAAAGAGTTCACATGTAATTTTGCTTTTTATTCACGAAATACCGTAGATAATACTTTTTCCACTATTTTTTTTCGTTACAGTGAACTGTTCTCCCTCTTTACACACACAAACCCAATCTGACCCTCTCCACCGTCCCAACTTGCCTTGTTCTGCCTTGTCCTGCCTCTCCAGGCCCTAGCCTGTACAACCTCGGACAGCCAGGCTTCACTCTGATCTACCACTTTCGTTACTAGAGGCAGCAGTTTACCTGTTCAATTCAATTTCATTCACTTTCTGCCATAGATTGAAAATTTCTGTAATATTAACTGATTTAGCACTCCCCTTTTTCTTTCTTTCATTTCTTAAAATGTTAATTCTATTTTTTAAATTATTAGTAATCCTAATGTTTTTGTTTTAGTTTCTTCTTTTAATTTTTTATATTTCGTGTATTAGGAAACTGATGACGATAGCTAAGCCATCGAAAGCTGTTATTGAAATAGTTAATATTGTAGTCAATGGCAACTCTTATAATTATTTCACTTAAAAAATGGAATTATAAGAGAAGGTGAACGAGGGGCCTCCCCAGGTGACGGCGATCGCCGACAACTCGGAGCTGACGACGTACAGCTACCTGCGCTCGCGCTCGCTGCCGTTCGCGCCGCCGCCGCCGCCGCACACGCGCGCGGGCGCCACCTGGTTCGCGCGGCCCTTCCGCTCCGCGCGCAAGTCGCGCGTGGGGCGAGACGAGAAGACCGACTCCGACTCGGCTGAGGACGACGACGACGACGACTGGCCTGAAGCCAGCAAGTCGCGCAAGACTGCGTCTGTACGTGCGATAGATGCTTCAATCTCTCCCTGTCTGACCACGCAAATTTCGCTACGATCCTTTCACCAAGTAGCAGAGAAAGGAGGTATTTCTTGGGCGAGAAACAGGCGATTTTGAATTTGGCTCAGAGGCGTCATTTAGGCTTGAGGATCTTTTACATGCAAGTAAATCTACTAACATGGGAAAGCCGGCTTTACCTTGGTACCTGAACCTCCATTTAAGCACCCGAATCTACACTTAAGTTCCCGAATATTCACTTAAGAATCCTAATTTCTACGTGAAAGCTCAGACCTTCAGTTAAGTATCCGAATTTACAGTGCAGTATCCGAATCTCCAGCTAAGTGACCGAATCTCCATCACCGCTTAGTGAGTCCCTGAATTTCTGACTAGTAAGTACCCAAATCTCCATACGGTAAGTGCTTAAATCTCCACCTGGTACGTAAGCTTTTGATAAGTAAATGAATCTCCGCTTGCTAAGTACCCAAATGTTCTACTAGGAAATCATCGAATCTCCTAGTAAGTAACCCTATTATTTTTCGCTGCTTTATAGAAAATAACGAATATTATTTTATTCTATTTTTATCAACGGAATTTTGGCAACGGAAGTGGTGTCCACGTTATCCCGCATCAGTTTTATTATCAACAAACATTTTTTTATTTGTCTGAGTGTACCACATTAATCCGTATATGATTATTTGTCGTTCAAACCATAAAAATATTTTTTTTTCAAATAGCCAAAGCTTTATGTTTTTATCCAAACTATATTCAATTTAGACAAAATTAAAGCTTAAAATCCCCACTTTAAGACCTATGCTTCGAATAGTTTAACTATGTGACTGCAATGGGCAAACAATCCTTCGCTCCCCATCGTAGTTAACGTCCCACATTTGAGTCGCACAGCTGTATCTGAATTCTTTAACAAGTGTTATGCTGCATAGAACGTATTTGTGGAGACATCAGACGGTTTTGGAAGTTACTAGAGTATAACCCTCGTACCATATCTGGGGTCTTTTTGGACCCCGTCATCATTTATTTATAAATATTTTCCTGTATATTTGCTCGATAATTTCAGACTTCTAGTTATGTCTTCTTGCACTTATTAAGCAGCTATCAAACCATTTTCACATATTTTAAAAACTTTATTAAAGAGTTATTAATCAATTTTTCGTTACACGAAACCGGTTTGACCTAACGTATACGTAAAATTACGCTTGTTATTTTTCCATTCTCATTCGAAATATCTGGTAATGACCTTAAAAAAATATGTGATAAAATCTGTACTTAATGTATCTCGAAATAACTTTGACAAACACTTATAACTATTTCAGAATCATTATGTATCAAAAATGGAGGTTTCACAAGGTAGATGTTATAATAATGTCTCCACAAATACGTTCTATGCCTCCTAACAGTATATTTATTATGTTATTTAAAATAATTTATAAAATGTATCTTTACATTAAGTCAATTATTTACATCCAGTATATTGCCGTACAAATTCGTGTTTACCATACATAATTGTCAGGAAAGCTTGGAGTCCAAAAATGCCCAGGTATAGTACTTGTTAGTAAATAGCAGAAACTCGCGCGGTGTTGCCGAGTTGCGCGTCACAGTTCCGACTCTAGAAAGAGTCTCTAGAACCCCTCATCTTTCGATTAACACGATATAAAAGGGGTGTTGAACATAACACGTATCTCGCTCTAACCCCCTTAAGCAACCACGCTCTAAAATAGCACTTTTTCCGTGGTTCATGAAGAAACAGTTTAGTTGAGGTTGGTTGTGTTGGTCGTGCTGGCGCAGCCGCCGGCGTCGCTGGCCAACGAGTCGTCGTTCCTGTCCGCGATGACGGCCGAGGCGCTGTCGGAGGCGCAGGCCGTGCTCATGGAGGTGACGAACGCCGTCGTGGCCGAGCACGAGTGGGTCGGCAGGCCGTCCGCCCGCGACTCGGACGCCCCCAGGTAGGCACGTTCCCACTCCACCGATTCGATGCCGGAATTGGGTCTATGACACCGGCATCCCATTTCTTTGCTTCTGATTCTCGATGGAATCGACTCCTATACGACGGAATGGAACCAAAGCAATGCCTTCGATTCTTTAAAATAATGCATATCCCTGCGCTTTTACTGTATTTTCATTCTTTTGTTATTTAAATTTTTACCATTATTATTATTAATATTAATGTTATTATCGTAGTTATTATTATATTAATAATTTTATAAATGTCTGAGGGTTTGAAGTCTACCTGCGACCATGCCTCAACCGTCTGCTTCACGTTCAAATCAAACTTCTTGGTTAAAATTACATTATTAATTGCATGCATTATTAATTTTTCACTCTTTTCCTTTCTGGATCGTCTCTCACATGTTAAACTCCACACACGTCCCTAACTTACTTCCCCAACCTAATTTTCATTATAAGTTGATAACGAAACACATTTGTTTAAAAATTTATAAATGTCCAGTGCACTAACACAATATAAAATAAAAACAAAAAAGAATGCAATGGATGTTGAAAAGAAATTGTCAATGAATATTTATTCAGTATTATTGGGAGATTGCTTGGAACAATTCACAACTTCCTTAAAAATATTTGAAATAATTATTGGATTTTAATTCAAAGTTAGCCTTTCTCATTTAGTGATAGTCACAGAAATATTTAAAACAATACACTTGAGAATGCTACGGGATTGAACACTCTGAATTGAAAGTTTCACCTAATCACATCTGATAACAAAAATACTGGTACAGATAAAACACAAACCTAAACTGACAAGATACGACTTCACTCTTCACTGTACACCCACACCCCTCCATAATTAAGTATACAGCACTTGTGGATCTTGGTAAAACCTTAAATGAATGTTTTCACTACTCGCATAAGTAAAATCTTCATAGGTATCAAGCAACTATTAATAGTACTTCTAGTTGTTGCTGTGAGAGTGAATCTAAATTAATAATTATACAAATAAACCTCGACAGTCTGCGCATACCACAGCGTAAATAGTATAAGATAGAGGAATCTAAGCCTTCTGACCGTGACATCACAAACAAGGCCACCATCACCAAAAGCTGAAATCTAGGTGGCATTGGTAGTACCGATAATTACCGAACTAGGAAATATTCAATAGAATGTCCGAGAATATTTCATTCTGTAGATTATGATGTAATGAAGGTTTCTTTGAGGTCTTTGGGTTCAAATTTTTTAAGGCCCTAGAATGGTTTGTTTACGAGTTATTTAACGAGATAGATGATTGCATTTGACGTGAATATTTAGATGCTTTTTTAAAACAAATCCTTCATATTAATCAATACAACGTTAATTTGTAATTGGATAAGTATTATCCTTTTAAATGTATGTTAAACTGAATGAAGCTACATATCATGTTAAAATTCTTAAAAAGATTACTGAATTGATCAAAGTTCGTGAATATTCTGTTGCTGATATACGAAAGGTAAATACAAAATGTGGAAATAATAAAGAGGAATTAGATATAAAAAATGATATACAAGGACAAATATTTTGTGTAATTTTACCTAGTCTATATGATAAATGTTTAAATGAAAAATATATAAAAGAGTTTTTAAAAACTAAGAATGTGACATCAATATATATATATATATATATATATATATATATATATATATATATATATATATCGGATTTATAGAAGAGGATATTATTGAATTAAGTTTTTTACATAATTGCATGTATGATGTATGAAAAACGTGGTCTTGAATAAATATTTTATTATTGAGGTGAAATGTAGCTTAGGAATTATTTGGATTATTAAAAATTAACGCCGCAAATAAAGAAGATATTTTGTGATAAATATTGGTAAAATTAGGTAATTTAATATGATTTTAATACAATTTTAATGAAAAAATTAGCATATTAAAATATCAAAAAATGTTGTTTACAAAAAATGTGGTCCACATATGACTCTTTTAAGACAAAAATTGTCACATTAGTATATTATATAACCATAAAAAATTATCTAGATTATATGGGACGAGCCGCCTCACTGACATGGTGGCTACAACTCGAGCCGCGAATGCCTACGCAACCATTAACAATATAGCAAGAATGTATGAGCTGTTATGGTACCACTAATTCATAAATGTTTCTCAATCTCTTATCAAGATAATTTAAATAGGAGGGTTGGGACAGCAATTTAAAAAAAAAATTATCAGGTCATACAAAATTATTGCTGAAATGCTGTACTAATGTGTGTTCACAATAACACACGACTCTGTATAAGCAAAGAGAGTCTAACTGCCGCCGTGCAAGATAAATGTCACGAGTTCGAAGCATCGCTCATACTCGAAGATAACTGCCCTCCACGTGGGAGAAATGCCGGGGAATTTCACAAGGAATTAGTGGACTGGATGAACAGAGTTTCAGTGAGGACGCGTAGTGAGAGTGTCAGTGATAGGAATCACACGTGACAACCTGTGAACGTGCAGACCAATGTGACATGTGCAGTAAGTGAGCATTTGCGTTGTCGAGCGAGTACGTAATGCTTTCGAAATGTTGTCAAATCGTATTTGCTAAAATGCTTTGGAACATGAAACCAGTTCTGTTATTTCGAATAATTCAATAATTATTATAAAATCAATTTTGGTATGCCGTTAAATCGCCATGCACTTAGTTCACACCACGTCATTTGATGGGTGTATTATACATTTCCACCCGTACTCGAATTGTCACAAAAAAGTTGCCATGACGTATGCCTCAACCCTTGCACAAACTCTCGGTTTTGATCATACCTACTGTTGCAGAGAGATGTTGTGTAAATGCCCAAATTGGGTGTCAATACTTTCGTTGACCAGCGTCCTCATGTGAATCGATTCCTTAGAGAACCGACTCTTTCATAGGACTTGCCCGTCCCTGCCCTGCCTGCAGGTCGTCCAAGAAATAAACATATAGAACTGATTGACAACGACTTATCTTGTAACATTAGCGCTAGTGAAGGCAAAATCTTGCGCTCGTCGCCATCTTAAGTCACTACAGATTTCTTCGTCGCCCTTGCTGTATGTGTTAAATTAATGAGATTCTTTTCTTATTTCTGAAATTTTACTGCTGTGTTTTGTCAATTTCTGCATTACTTTCATTGCGATGGTAAATACTTGTGTTTAGATGCAATTTTTCGAATTGCATCTAAATTATTACCTTTTTGTGATCTGCACTCATAAAATTGGAAGTTTAGTTACCAAATTTTACTGACTATCTACGATTTCTGATATTAAGATTGTATGATTAAACAGTTAATTAAAAGTGGGTAGGAAAATAATAGGTTTGTGTCTAATCATTGTTAAGTTTGTGTGTAATAATTGTTAAATGTCAATACAGACTTGAGACTAGTGCTGTTTTTGATATTGAAAGCAATAAAAGTGATTTAAATATTGATATTAATTGTTTTATTTCACCAAAAATATTTCCTGTTAAATATTGCAGTTTTTCTTACCAGCCGTACGTCATATATTTATGTTTATAGATTCTCTAAGAGCCCATCTGACATATAGCGTTGTATGCCCGTGAGTGAAACTGTAGTGACAAAATATGGCGGCGAGCGCAATCGCTTGTCTTTAAAAATAATCGTTCATGGCCATGTCTAGTGCTATAAGTCTAAGGACCAAGGTGATGAGCCGGGGGATCCTTAGGGGAACCGACTCTCCTGGCCCTGCCCGCAGGTCGTCCAAGGCGATGAGCCGCGTCCCCATGCATTGCGTCTTCATTTGAATCGATTCCTTAGAGAACCGACTCTTTCACACGATTCGCCTGTCCCTGCCCTGCCCACAGGTCGTCCAAGGCGATGAGCTGCGTCCCCGTGCGCCGCCACCGCGGCAACTCGCGCTGCTCCGTCGCCGTCGCCACCGTCGACGCCGACGCCGACTCGCTCATCAGCTCCGAGAGCAGCGAGGACGAGATGCTCGCGCTCGCCTACGTCAGCCAGAGGACGCACTCCACCGACAGCGTTTCCGAGGTGGACGAGGGCTACTCCTTCTTGCCCGTCTTTCCCGACAAGAAGGACTTCTCCCAATACGCCCAGCACTTGCGCAGGTCAGCGAGCACCCAACACGAACACTCCGCTTTTCGGGTTTGCTCAGTTCTTGCGCAGATGTGCAGGTTTACTAAACTAGCTTCTACTCGACTTTCAGTGTATATACCGACTATTCAACTCGCTGCAGTTATGTTTCAGTTCGGGCAATAACGTTTTATAACAAGATGGTTAGTAACCCATTCGTGAGCTCCTCAAATCAAAAAGTTAACATGTAGAATTTTCGCTATCATATTACCGCAGATGGTATTAATCTGATTTAGAAAATAAATAAATATTCTTTCCATCTGTCGACAATAGTGTCTATAACAATCCATCAATAAATAGTTCTCGCTATTTGTAACATTATGTTCTTACTATTTATTCATTTATGACTTTTATTCGTGAAATGGACAAACCGAATTCCACTCCTGGTTTGACACTTCTCAGAAACGTTCGCTCGCTGTACGCGACTCGCAAACTTATCTATAAGTCTCAAACCTCTAGTGCAATTACTTATAAATATCAGGGTCATAAGACCAAGTCTTTAACCATGTTCGTCAGTTGCACGGGCCACAAGGCTTAAAACATTACGTTTACGTTTTAAAGAATACTTAACACTTACGAAGTTAGAGGCGTACCATATTTTGGTTGTCCGTCCTTGATCAGTTCTTTTGTAGATTTGAATTCTCCCCGCACTGGATTCTCAACTTGTTTTTCATGTTTACCCGGATCACAATACTGTGTCTCCAATTTCACTTGGTCGTAATACTTGCTCAGTATTCGCACAGGGAACTAAACAATATATAGTGTTTCCACATTTCTTTTCATTTACTGCGTTACATAGCACTCTCGATTCTGAGCTCTTTTTCAGTGCTTATCCGGGTCAAAATATAGGACCTTCGATTCTCCTGAGTCATAATACTTGCAGAGTATTTGCTGAGGACTTAGAATATATAGTATTTATGCATCATATATATTAAGTTTCTACATTTATTATCACTTACCAAATCACATGCACTGCTTACTTTGGGTTTCTGTTCATCCTGAAGTCGATAGGCTTCTCACTCTGAGTTCTTCACTGATAACCTCTGCGTACTCGGATCACCATGTAAATCATATTGGGTATCTGAATACGCTCTACGCCTAAAGGCAGGTTGCGAACTGCGAATATTCAAAGCCCTCACAAGATTACCCATGTCAGCAGGTCAAGGATATAGATTCCAAATATTCGAAGCCGGCCTATCCGAGCAGACAAGATAACGACTAGACTTCTGAGTAGGGTAATGGCAGAGACTTTTCCAAAACTGCCATGAATCACCAAAAGACATAACTTTTTCTTCCCGTACCTTCATACACTCTCCCGTACACTCTCTCTGTATATTTAACCAAGTACAGCTCTCTCTACGATCATTAAGTTCATCATTAGCTTGTTCAAAATTTACGCACCAGTCGCGCAACCGTATTCTCACCACAAACACAATCGGCTCTTCCACATTTCACACACAAGGTTAGTGAACTCCAATACAATTGCATTGTCAAAGTTCAGCACATATTCAACGTTACCATCGGCTCTGCAGACATTGTGACCGGGAGATTCGGCTTCGAGACCTGACGATGGCGAATATTCGACACTAGGTCAAATTAAACTCTTGTGTGGAAGAGAATTCTAGTGACCGGGTTTTCTGATTGATCGGATACTTTTTCATGGTTACTCCGATTAATACCAGGGCCAGAGCAAAACCCAAACAAAAAGACACCGCGTCAGTTTTCCTTCCTCTTCCTTGTTCTATCTGGTTCCCTTGCATTATCTCTATCGAGAATGGGTAAATAAATTGGAGGAGGGATCTCTCGCAAGCCGACATGATCTCATCAACCAGTGGGGGAGGTAAACGGTCACCTCCCGAGTTAAAACATTCACTGTACTAACGAAACTAATGACTATAGTAGTTGACGTGTCTGGAAAAATCAATTAAGCAATACGACAGACCTCTGCGTCTCAAACTGGAATGCATGAGATCTGTGCGATCAACGTTGTATACATTTCTTTGGTTATATATTTCCCCTACAAATCAGCCCCCGGGTAACTCAGGACAACCAGCTAACTTTCTATGAGACGGTTGCGAGTTCGATTCCCAGCCTGGGCAAATATGAAACTGTATCTTTCTAATCCAAATTGTCTTAGTTTCTATAGCGGTGTTACAAAACAAAACTCAGGCAGGTCAAATATGTTAGGTTCTGTGCAAGGCATACGTTGTGCTGGCCACTTGTCGCCCTGACACCAGGCGTAGATAATAAATAAAATAGTAATGCTACGTAATAGCAAAAACTTCCTCTTACGAATTTGTTTTCTAATTTCTTTGGTATAGACTATCTTTTTAATTTCTCGCCTTAGGAAGTTCTTCGTAAGAAGAGAAAGCAATGAGATCGTGCGCAGGAGAATGGCGAACTTTCGACAGAAAAAAACTTTTATTTTGTTTTGCTTCACCCTCTTCCCAGCTGCCATCTATCGCCGCCTAAAGTATATTTTTCACATTTTCTCAATCTTTCCAATCCCTAATGGTAGAACTACTGACATTTGACTACTGAAATTTGGAGCGGTTGTTGAGAATATCTTAGATTGTTATTTTTTATATTGCACATATTTAATTCAATATTGCGCAGTAACGACTAAAATTGAAAAAAAGTATATGATCTTAATGAAAGAATTAATTATTGAAAACAAATTTCAATTGAAGAAAATCTCTCTCTCTCTCTCTCTCTCTCTCTCTCTCTCTCTCTCTCTCTTAAATTTTGTATTGATAGGAAGGCGCCGAAAAAATTCAAACTTTCGCCATTTTTGAAGTTTTGGAGTTAACATTGAAAATTGGATCTGTGCAATTTTTATAAGTGTATTTTACGCGACAAAACTGAAAAGAAAACATTTACAGCCATTTTTCAGAAATTGTTGAAAATGTTCTAGTGTATTCATGTAATGTACCACCAAAAATTGAAGAATGTTATTTACAACTGCAGAGCTTCGAGTGAGGTCAGACCGTTCAGGGAGTATTTATTTTGGAAAAATAATCTTATGCTTAATTCAGACGCTAGTGTTGTTCAAAGACAGCAAACAGACGGACAGACAGACAGTCACTCTGATAGTAGGACTGATCTTCTGACAAAAAACGACACTTTTTCGGTATCAAGGGCGTGACATTATGTAACTTTTTCAATACTACGTGTACTACTCGTTTATTATACTACATATATACTCTGTACGTATATTACTTACGTTTACGACAATGTAAAAACAGGGTCTAGAAATGTTTACACTACTAGCGGGCAAAAGTTGTAATTTGTTAAATATTAATCAAAAGTCAAATGCTGTATACATACTACATACATTTCCTCTACAATACCAAGTATGCAATGTAAGGGTTTGCGATTTGCATGTTTTTCAGGGTGAAACAGGCGATCGAAGAGTGGACATACGACGTGGCATATCGGCGCCACTACTTCGCCAATATGCCCAGTGGAATGAACGAGTGCTACAAGCTGATTCAAGGCGAGAACCGCCCGGAGAACGGCCGTATGTCAGAGTCTTCAAAAACAGCGCGAAAAGCGAGACTACGAAAAGAATCTCCATCTGCTTGTCCGTTCGACGAAAATACTCCGTTATTCGCCGTGAAGAATCTAGCTGGCGATGAAGTCTACGATATGCTTCGCGGGAGGTACTTCATGTTGATTTTATTCAGAAAGTTAAAGTAACTGCTTAATGGTTAATACAATATTACCTAAGTACCTCTGAATACAATAAAGTAGAACATCAATAGTTTGAACGACAAAAATGGTCGGACTGTCAAATCGAAAAAAAAAATTCTCAAAGAATCGCATGAAGTAAATTCTGTATCTTGACTAGTATATAGGAGTCAACACGACTTAATTACTTTATTGCCACTATTGTTTGTAGAAAAAAAATCCACATTTCCATCATTAAATCATAAGAAAGAGGAACTGCATTAATGCTTAATCATATCCACTGCTGTAACTAAGAGTGAACGATTTTAACAAGTTTTAAATTGGAGACGGCTAATTATTAGTGCTTCCTTTCGAAAATGCGGACAATTTAATAATCCAGAAGTGGTGCGGTCTCAATTGAGTTGAATTTTCGACGTTCTCCTATATTTTGAGTATAAGACAGCACGTAAAGTCATTACAATTCGTCCACTCTTCATTATTGAAGCAAGGGTTCAAATACTGGTTGTTCCATGTTGAATTTCAAGTAAAAAACCGTACACACGGTAATTTTTCTCAGGGTGTCATTTTCCGAGACTTATATTTCACCACATCGTGCACCGCAATCATTTTGCATGACTCTCCCTCATATTAGTCATGCATATTCACCTCCTAAGTTAACTGGTTGCCAGAAAACCGTCTCTGGTGGTCTTCCCGCATTTAAGCGAGAAATAAATAATAAGTAGGCGGATCTGCCCTGCATAACTGTTTCAAACGTGAAAATTGCTTCTTATAGAATTCACTGCTCGAACGTTTCTGATAAATCACACTACGAAGGGGGGAGCTTCCTAAATCTAACTACAATAATATTTTGTGCAATTAGTTTTTAGTGTTAAGTATGGCATTTGTAATGTTAAGCATTTTAATGCATGGATACAAGTTTCGAAAACGAGCGGCTGTAGAAGCAAGTTTTCAAATTCGTATAAATGCAATAAAACATCATTATAAACGAATTACATACGCTATTTTTTGTATAACAGCATTATAAAATTATAAGAAAACCAAAGTTAAGTTTGGGAAACAACTCTGTTATGACGTCACGGGTAATTGACAATTGTGAGAAAAACAATGAAGGGCTGTTCCATTTGCCATTACCTCCCTCAATTCTCTTGCTGCGATTGGACGATTATGTGATAACGCACTTATTCGGGTCACAAACCGCATATTCGTCATAACCTGTGCCGTAAGATGTTATTTTATGAAAGATTTCTTGTAATGAAAAAGGTCGTCTATAATGCTCGAATACAAAAAGCAACTCATTGTGTAGATTACGACTTAAGAACGATATCTGAAAAACTGATTTTTAAGGCACTAGAATGCATGTTTTTTGAAATCTGGGCGATGATAGCTTCTATTGCAGCGTTTTGTATCTGGCGGGTTGCGTGTTCTTCTCGCTGCATAATAATTTGTGAAGCTTTATTTTTCCATTCCATCTTAAATCTGTTTGAAACAGGAGAAAGGGAGAATTCCCTCTCCAGCAATAGGGCAGATGCGGGGTTCCGTGTTTATGGTTTCTTCTCAATTTTTCTTAATACTAATAATAACAATAATAACAATAATAACAATAATAACAATAATAACAATGATAACAATGGTAACAATGATAACAATGATAACAATGATAACAATGATAACAATGATAACAATGATAACAATAATAACAATAATAACAATAATAATGGTAACAATGGTAACAATGGTAACAATGGTAAAAATGATAACAATGATAACAATGATAACAATGATAACAATGATAACAATAATAACAATGATAACAATGATAACAATGGTAACAATAACAACAATAATAACAATAATAACGGTAACAGTGGTAACAGTGGTAACAATGGTAACAATGGTAACAATGGTAACAATGGTAACAATGGTAACAATGATAACAATGATAACAATGATAACAATGATAACAATGATAACAATAATAATAATAAAACTGGCCCCGTGGCGCAGATAGTTGTGACAGTCCGGCTCAGCGCCGAGGAGTCTGCAGGTTCGACCCTGCGTAGGCATAGTCGTATTTGTGTGTGTCCCTTCACCTCTCATCATCATCATCATCCTGTCACCTCATAATTCACAACTCAAGGCGTAACAATCTTGTCATACCTTAGGATACAACTGAAAACCTGATCCCCATAGTTACATACGTTGATTTTGTAGCGTGGTCAGAAATGACCGATACACACGCGGTAACAACTATAACAACAATAACAATAATAATAATATGGAATATAATGGAAAAACAAAATGGATAAAACAAGTCGAGGAGGGTCTCAGACAAGCACATATAACAATTAATGATGCCGAAGATAGAGAAGAATTTAGGAACACTATCAAAATCGTACATTTACACCACATCACAGAAGAGGCCAGTTTGTAAATGATCAGCGGAGCGCAAAAATGAACACAGAGAGCAAAGGATGAAAATTGGGAACAGGGAAAGCACAAACAATCATCATAATGAAGTTCAACGCTCTCTTGAAATGGGAATAATCTTATATTATTATTATTATTATTATTATTATTATTATTATTATGGTTCAGTGCTTCTATTGAATCTACGATCGTCAGTAGTTTAACATAAAAATAGGGAAGTAAAAATATAATATTATAGTAAAAATGAACTTTTATGAAACGTATAAATATAAAAAGCAAAATCAAAAATGAAATTCTAGCTTAATAATTACAATAGAAATATGTAGAATTCATTATTATACATATTAAAATGTTCTGATGAGAAAGCAACTCGTCTTACTTTTCTTTGTTAAATAAATGTACACATTATAATTAACAATTTGATTAACATTCTTAGTCGTAGAATTAGATATATTCAGCAAAATAAACAGTAAAAACTGTATGTGATGTAGGGGTAAAAATTATCTGCGCACGTTTTCTTGAGTTCCAAAATTCCTTCCCGTCATTTTAACTATAAATAGTTGAAAGATGAATAAAAGTTTAACATAAATAAAATGTTAAAAATAAATTTTAAAAATCGCAAGATAAGCAATATTTAAAAAATAGTCATTTTTGTTTCTGAGTTATAGAAAACTTATTTGCATCGGTACACGAATTGAAAGTATGTTTTTTCTGCATTGCTAACAAAATAGCTACTCGCCCTTACCTCTACTCTTACCATTACAAGCAAAAGGAGAGTTCAATAAAACCTGCGCGAAGTGAAGCTACATTTACGTTCAGAAGCAAAACAAGGGGTCATGTCAGCATTTGCTCAATGGATCAGGGAAACGACAAAAACCTGATCGAGATGGGGGTCATTGACCCGGTAGCTGAAATAATTATTTGTTACAAACATATTAAGTCTTTAAAAAAGATTTACAATACAAATGTAAACTAATTCATTATATGTCACTGTTTTGTTAAAATAAACATTATTTTTCTTTTTGATAATCAGTATAGTCTCTAATTGTATAGCAGTTATGCAGCAGAAAATATTTTACTTTTAACTGAAATTTGTAAACAGACTTCAGTTGTTTAATGTCATCTGGCAGTGCATTAAAAAGTAATGTACATGTACTCGTATTGTATGTGGATTTCTGATAGTGAGCTGTTGATACAGATACTTGATGAACGTGATTTTTACGACGTGTGTTGAAATTATAAATATCAGTATTGCATGAAAATATGTTCCCACCGTTAAGTCACTTTTGACAAATATTACAGATTCGTAAATATATAGGCAAGGCAGAGTTAAGATTCCAAGCTCAATGAAGAGAGGCTTGCAAGGGTAATGCGGATGGCTTTTAAAGGTTACAAATACCCAAATATAGGTATAAAATTAAAAAAACATCATCTTTCTGTGTCTTCTTGTACACAGAGAGGTTGTTCTGAACCTTTATTGTCGATGGCTTCCAACAGATCGTCGGAGGACACCGAATCCAACGACAGCTCCTCCGCCTCGAAGAGGGAGCTGAACCTGTGGGAGATCACGCAACAGGCCATGCGGAGGTACACGCTGCTGCTCACGTTGATGCGGGCCAACGGCGCGGTGCTGCCCCACGTGCAGCCGCAGGACCTCGTGGACTACAAGCGCTACGAGCTGCTCTTCAAGGAGGCCAGTGCTTCCCAAGGAGACAGTTTATCTCATTGTTTTGCTTTCTCACCCATGCTTCGCTAGATGAGAAAGTATTGTAATCGTGCATCGGAAAAGGGAGACGTTTAGAACAGAAAAAAACAAACAAAAAAACCGATTGCCGAGTTTTGTTAACGAAAAAATAGATAAACATTGTTCCTGTTAATAGTGAACTACTCCTTTTAGCATGTATAGTCAGAAGCCACGTTTTATGACTCATAGTTACTGAAAAATCGATTGGCGGCCAAACGTCTGTGGACAAAGCTAGCATCTAAACCTTTCAACAGATTTTCTGGAAAATTGATTTTCCTTGATCAATTTAAGGGAACTCGGTGCCATCTGAGATTGAAACGGATATTTTGATTTTGGGGTTACCTTACCGGCGTCTTAAATAAAAATTCTAAATCTTTTCAAAAATGCCTTCAACTTTTTATTAAACGTCGACCTCGGAACCGAAAAACCAACCTTTTCTCTTTCCTAACCATTTGCGGTTAGCCAACTATTGATGCAGAAAGGAGGTAAAATTCATGTTTGCAACACACTCAGGAACAGCTTCAAATATGTCACGAGCTGTTGTAGTGTAATTCAACAACTCTTCAGTTATTCTAAATTTTGAATCGACACCTCTGCGTTGTCAGTCACATATGTATTTTAATCGAATGCTGAAGAAGGGGCTACAAAAGCTTGTCCTCCTTACTTTAGTTGATTATGAACCTTTCTTATTCGCCTTACTCTCCTGACTTTCCCCTGAACTCCTGACTGACTCCTCCTGACTTTTTTATTTAAAAAATTAAGGTCTGCTCTTGAGGGCGAAAATATAATAGTAATAAAGATAATTATGTAGCTGTAATTGAACAATTTGAGGGGAAAGACAAAAATAATGAAGGAATTTTCCACAGGAATATATTTGATAATTCCATGTTATGAAATGCCAATTGCAATAAATGGATGTGCACAAAAGGGATGTCATCTTGAAAAGTAATAAACGTATATTATTTATTCAAACATTTCTTCCTAATTATGGTCTGAACTTTTGGGACGTTCCTTCGCATATCTGGTCATATTTCAACTTTTAATTTTTTTTCAAGAGAAATTTTTGTGACTGATTTAATTGAAAATGAAAGTCTTCACTTTTTTAAATTTTAGATATCATATATACTATTTCATAAAAGGCCTTGCATTTCTCTACAATGTGTCGGAAGATTGGTAGTCTTCCAACTTCAGGCCTGTAATACAGAGACACATAATACACTAATAATGTATATTAAATAACATTCAGTAATCTACATCATTTGATGATGAGTTTTTAAGAAATTTCAAAATTTCATTTAGAATAAAAGTCAAATTGTTTCATTGACAATCCGTAAAAAGATGTAAGTTAAATTATTATACAAATAAACTTTTAATCAAAATGTATATATTAATGAATATTATACCATTGTATTCTATAACTAAAGATTGAAAGCTACCAATCTTTAAAAACGTTTTAGAGATTTGCAAAATATCATGTAAACTTTGAAGTGCAATATATAGTGCATAAAATAAAAAAAATAGTTTTGTTTTCTTATCAAAAGTTTGTTGATGGGTTTGTAATGCAGTCATGTGTGTTGAGGCAAGTAAGTCAGCGCGTGCGGGTGGCTCTAGGCCGTAACGTTCTCACGAGAGCCATTCGCGAGAAGGAAAAAGAAAAATCTGGTCAAAACTTGCCTACTCACCATTTCAAGTTTTAAATATAGAATGTACTTATATTGTTAAATTTTATGTAGTTGCTAACAGAATTGATATGTATTGTTATATTATTATTATTATTATTATCATCATCTTACATTATTCTCAGTATCTACTGGTCGGTATATCAACCACTCACAGGTATGATGACCAGGTGTGTGGTTGCTTTACTAAAGTTTCAGATGGCTTCTGACTATATATGTATTCAAAATTATTGACTTTTGGATATTATATACATTCCTGGCATCCATGTGAAGACACTCCAGTGCCCGAAGTGTCATTTTCGGGATCACTCACTCTGTAGGCTGATATTATTATAGGGCACATTTGTCACTTTACTGGAAAGTTGCACTGAGATACGACTTTCATGGGGCGAAGATCGGTATACTTCTGGATCTTCTTTTGATATTTTCCGATATGTTGTGGGTATTGGGTATTGATATATCGATAGGAAACCTTCTGTTGGTTCTATCAATGTACGTTATATCGGGTCTATTTGCCGCCGTACATGTCGTCAGTGGGATAATTGGAAGCGTCCAGTATGAGTGTGTGCTCACTATTAAGTACATTCTGAGGCAATATTTATAATACGCCACGGAAGTGCGAGTAAGCCGTTCTAAATGCAATAATTGGTGGACCTGCTTCGCACTTCATCATGCCTCTTTTTTGTATTCCACTGTGCGTGGCTGCTACATCCACTTGTCACGTGTTTGATAGTTTCCGCTGTAGCCTCCATATTCTACACGAGTAGGAATGAATGGTAGAATCTCTCAAACTGTGTTTCTGTAGTTCAATGTTGGTACCACTTAGCTCTGGTAGGCTTCATGAAGGCTCTGTCTCGGAAGAGTTTAAACCCGTGCTGGAGCCATGCGTGCGACGCAGAGATGTCGACTTCTGGTTTCTCAGCTCGTGAGGGTACCTCCTTTCAGTGACTTCGCTTTCCAATAAGGTTATCTCTTTCTAAAGTCCCTTTTCCAATGATGGTGTTGGACAGACGGATCAAGCTTTTTCCAGTTTTGAGGAATATAGTTATTAAATGCGCTCACTGCTTGCTGAATTCCACAATGTTCCAAAGAAGTATTTCTGAGTGAAGCAATTTGAGAGCTGTGTAAATTTATGAGATCTACAATACTTCGCCTCCCTTGCGATCTGGAAGGGTACAAAGCTCAGTATTGAATGGGGTGAATGTTTCCGGCTGTTGAGTCATAGCGGTTCGATTGTCATCTGGAGGTTGTTGAGGTTCGGTATTGCCCATTTAATAAGCCAAAGGATATGTCAGGAAAACATTGGATAACAAATGAATTGATGCCTGCACAAGGTTTTAGGCAGAGAGTTGAGTTTTTAAGAGTTCATGCAATCGTTACACACTTCAGTTTGTTAGTATGTTCTTAGTACAGTGGTGTTTGATTCGAGTGACTGTTGGAAACGAAGTATTTGTAAGTTTCATGGGGTTCCATGAAGGTAATCTTTGGTTATTATCAGTTTCCAAATTTATAACTTGCAATATGACGCAAATTATATTCACTCTCTGCATTATCCAAACGAATTTCTTTAATGTTCTTCAGTGAACTTCTCGTCACGTTTATTAGTTGCCGCATATGACAAATCATATGCAATAGAGCCGTATGTAAAGAAGATGTTGGACCGAAGAGAGTTGAGTTTCCCGTTTAAGAGCGATTCCATAATTGATGAATTAAGTAGGTAGAGAGGGATTCAAGCAAGCAGAAAATAAAAGGGCTTAAAAGAGTCACCTGAAAAATACTGCGCGGATGTGATTATTGGTATCTGTATGAACGGATTGTTTTCATAGAGAGATACAGTTTTGTATTCCTCGACTCATCGCGTTTTCAGGAAGTTTGGAAAACGGGTGGACCTTGTATACTCCAAACATTGAAGAGTCAAGATGGGGCACGGTGGTCGAATGTTTAGCGTAATCTATGCATAGCATGCGTAGCAGTTTCTTTGATTTTGCAGCGCACTTGCCCCATAATTACAGAGTCTATAATGAAAGTTGCTCCTTGCATGCTGAATCCAGGTCTACATCCTTCTGTTCAATTTGCTAATATGCTCTGTTCCTCAATGTGTGTATCATCATTTGCGAACACAAGATGTTATGAGTTGGAGAAAATTTGAAAGGCAGGTTATAGCTGTACTTCGAAGGGTCTTTAGTGTCCCTCCTTGGTTACAAAAATGTTCTATCTTTCAGTGAGGAGTAAGATAGATTTCTGGATTGTGAAGAAAATATTTGACATTATATTGCTATATGATGGTGAGTGCTGGTAGAATTTTTTGAGCAATAATTGTTTGCAGGCCAATCACGGCCTGGTGCTTCCAGTTATGTTGCTTTGTCAAAAGCTGATTGGACAAATTTCCACGGTGATGATTTGGTTCACCCATTAGAGGGATATCTCGGTTGTCAGTCATATTCCATTTAATCCACGTCCATATCTGGTTGTGGACACAGCAATGACAGATAGCTTCCAAAAGTCTTATTTGTGCCTTTGAGGGAAGCTTTTGACTCTTTCTTCTTCTCTCCTTCTCTCCTTCTTATTCTTATTCTTATTTATAAGTATAGCATTAAAATAACATCATGAAAATTAAATACTTGCTATTAAAATAATTATTACTGTATAATATCCTAATCTATCTAACTACACAAGAATTGGCAGTATTAATTTCTAAGCAAATTGACCCATCTCGATCAGGTTTGTTTTCAGTTTCCCTGATCCTTGGCAAATCTGATATGGACCTTGTTTGCTCTTAACAGTAATGTAAACTTGCTCTCTCCCCCAGATCATCATATTGACTCGTCATACACGATTTGATTTAATATGGTGACTCAATAAATATTATTATTAATTATTATTATTATTATTATTATTATTTTATTATTATTATTATTATTATTATTATTATTATCTTATTATATTATTATTATTATTATTAATTATTCTTATTATTATTATCCCCGGCGCAGGAGACCTTGGGGTGCTGCTGCGGTGAACGGAGCAGAGGCAGCGACACCACGCCCATGTGGTCGTGTCTGGACGAAGCTGAGCGAAAGGATTGCATCGCGCCAGGAAGCGTGATGCGTGGATCGACGTGTCGTTGCAGTTGGCCAGGATTTTCTGGTTCGAAAAATCGACGAAGAACACATGCACACTCAGTGGTCATCTTTACTTAATTTCGTGGCATCTCCGTCATTTTTAATGGAAAAGTTAAGCAACTTGAAGAAATAGAACTTATTTTCTATGTGGTATTATCTTAATGGTTTATAGATGTGCTACAAAGGGATTTTTTGAGACAGGACGTATCCACAACAATAAAAATGAAAAATCGACCAGTCGCTATGAAATGTGAGGCTACTCAGAAATGTGCAGTATATTCGCGGCGCGTAAATTCGCTTCGACAGTTCGCAGTGGAGTTGGTGATAGAAATTGAATTTGCAAACGACGATGGCGCAGTTTCTCAAAACGACGAATTGGTCCCAGTGGTGCGGTTTTTTGTCACCTTTCATCGTTTTGAGATGTAAGAGGGAGAATGGGGGGCAAGTGCTGTAGCTTACTGGCGTTTTTCAGAAGGACCGATGTCAGAACGTGTCAGAGCAAAACGTTCTGGGTAATTTCTTCCTGATCGCATTAATAAACATTTCGGTATGATATATTCTTTCATGACGAAAAAATGACGATTCCAACTTTTTGTTATGGGAATAATCACAGCTCGACCAAACTGCAATTATCTTTTATATGTGTTAAGAGCTAGGTTGTAATATTTGAAATAAATTATAAGGCTTAAAACAATTCATTTGTCAAATTAGTGAATATAAATCAAAGTTATTTTTTGTAAATATATACGAGTCAGACGAAATATTATCACATTGTGATATGCGAATACAGTTATATTGAAATTTAAATAGTTCTTCACTTTTACGGTCATAATCGCAATACCTCACCCCCATTCCAGCACCCTTCCACTGCACCGTCGCCGGGTGCGGCTTATTTATGAGAGATCAGTTCAGAAAATTCTTATTGATATCATCATTATTTTAATAAAATTAATAATGCGCATATTTATGGTCTTAGAAAAACATTTTTGGCGAACTTTATTATGTCATTCTCCCCTCAAAGATTTATTGATTTTTGTAATAATTTTTGCGAAAAAAGCTGAAAGATATTGATATTGATGAGTCATGCAGCCCTTCAAGCGTCGCCGGCCAGCTTAAGCTGCGCGTCTTCCCCCCGTTCTCTGCCTCTACATGTCACATCATGACGCCACCCCCAACCCAAAGGGCCTGTCACGCCGTCGGACACATGGTCCACGCACATGGGCACTCTGGCGAACACATGGCCACTTGTTTTGTGCACGACGCTACAATATGTTCGTTTGAAACCAATCGTTTAAAAATAAAAGAAATAAATCTGAATATAGTTTAATGTTAAAATATCAGAATTTTTAGTTTCTTTGAGAGTTAATGTGTAATTACTTAAATTTTATTATTAATTACTTAAACTATTTTTTTTTAATGAGAGTGGTTTTGCTCGCGCCATTTGCCTTCTTCGACATGGCAGGAAGGAAAAGGCATAAGGAAAAAAGACGGCGGACAAAAGACGCACCAACAGCCGTGCGCGCACTGCGCCTTTTTTGGGACGGCAGCATAGCAAATGCAGAGTGTGTCGTACTTTTCTCTAGAACGGAAAATGAGGCCCCAGTGACGGACATATGTGAAGAGGCCGTTAAGCCATTATCCGCCACTCAGACTGTGTTTTAGGGGGCGCAAAATATGAACGGTCCTTAGTCTCTAATTTAGTGCACGTTATTATCCCATAGTATGACAGTGTTTCCTTTCTGAATTCGAACGGAAGGTCAGTCGCCGACCTACAAATTGGTTGATAGATTGATTACTTAATTGGTTTGATTACTAGTGATTCAGGTACGGCTATTAGCACGTAAGTCGTATGCACCGTTTGCTCGGGAGATGGATGACCTGTTCGATGATAGAGAGTCCGGCGCCAACCTTACTCGATAGCTGCCCTTCCCGAACCAGATTATCCTCACCGGTCAAGCTCTAAGCTCATGACGGTTTCAGGCAATTCAATGTGCATGCAAAAGTAGTGCATTGCAGTAGTGCATGCAAGTATTGTGCTTGCGTGATGTGTTGTGTGTGTGTGTGTGTGTAAGGGTAGAGAGGTCAAAAGAAGTAGAAGGAAAGATCCGGGACGTCCGATTGTATAGGAGCTTGATTCCGCTACCGGTGAATGATAGACGAAACCACGAAAACTAGGATCAGCGCAGCGTCGAAAAGAATTCTTGCTCCAGCCAGCGGCTGCCCCGACCTGGCTAGGCGGCTTGCGTAGGAAAGTGTTGACGCGCAGGTGACGCGAGCGCGTGGCGCAGGGACGCCGACCCCGAGCGCAAAACTCCTTCTCCGACGCGCGCGGCAAGGACCAACCGGTCGCGCTGTACCACGATGGGCGTCGCGCGGGTGCACAACAGCGAGCCACAGCTGGTGTGGCTTGGCGTGGCTTGAAAGACCGTTCGAGCGCGCGCGCGGCACCTGTGCCCGCGCTCGCCCGCGCCGCCGCAACGCGCGCCTCTGTCTCCAACTTCGACCGCGACCTCGCCGACAGCCTGTGCTGGCCGGCGTCACGCTCGACCTCTTTGCCCCTTCCTGCGCGACCACCTGCCGACGACTCTACCCGGAGCCCGCCACCTCGAGCATGCAACATGCCTATTGGTTGGGAGGGACATGCGGACGCCACAGCGTTGCGTCATTCAATTCCAGTAGTACATTCCAAATTAATTGTCGCTGAAGTTAATTGCAATTTTTTCAAAAAAACGGTTTTTCAAACAAAGTTCGAATATAGTTGGCAGCAAAATGGCTTTTTAAAAAACCTTGACGTTCTGTTCAAAATCTGCCTTTAAAGGACATATTTAACTAACGAAAATTCTCTGTTTTTCAATAGTGTAGTTCTAGAGAAGACATCCCGAAATGCACTTATGAGCTTCGAATATCATGGATTTCAACGAACATGAGACCTGCACGCATTATCTTATTGTCCTATACGCTATCCGAGGGCGAAATTTAAAAAATTCGAAGCCACTTTGGAGAAAATTTTTTTAAAATGGTTTGTATAGTTTCGTGTTTAGTTCCAAATAAAACACCTTTCAAACTCAGAGGTCTCTCGAGTTTCCTTTAAATTGATCAAGGAATAATAATTTTAGAGAAAATCGGCTGAACGGTTTAGGCGCTAACGCGTCGACCACAAACGGGGAGACAGCGTTTTACTGTAAAACGATTTTTCGCATCAAAGATCCACAAAACGTATCATATTGGCTAAACGCGCGTCGTAGAGCAAGTAATTTACTATCAGTATGTAAACAGGAATTTATCCTTTTTACTTTACAGGGCAATGCACAAGAGTTTTTTGCTGAAAAATTTGCGATTCCGGCGCACAAATTTTCTAACAACTTAGGGCAATAAAGTAGCACAATGTCAATTAATTGCCAATACAATGTTAAATGAAAGGATTAAATTAAACAAAGTAAGTCGCCTGTTGTCCCTGAGAGCAGGCGCAGCAACAACTGCCGCGCGCTCATCCTCGCAGCTGTGCGCGTCATTCACCTGGGCTTTACACGGTGAGCCTCGCGACATGTGCCCGATCGGCGTGAAAGCTGCTGCATGGTGGCGTTCCTCTACAGCGTCATGGCGTCCTGGCCGCGCTGCCACGCTCTCGAGATGCTCGGCGCCGCTAGTCGGACGCCGGCTCCACCACTGTGGCGCTGGTCAACCCCGGCAGAGCGCCACGTCTACCTCGCGAGTTCGTCGTACATCGGATCTTTCTCTCTCCGTGATTCACGCACAACGGCGCGGCCGCGTGCGGAGGCGACTCAGTGGCCGTGGTCTTCGGCTCGCGCCGGCCAGCGCCAACCTGCAGGTCGTCTTCCACGCCAGGACCTTTACCGCAGCAGAGCTTGGCGCCGCACTTCTGATTGGACCTTCGAGCGCGACGGATTCCATCAACTCTTTCCACCGACCGTCCACACGACTCTTTCCACTCGAATCGTTCCACTCGACCCGTCTCACACGACCCCGTTCACACGACCCGTTCCACACGACCCCATCAACAAGTACGCTCAACGGACCCACTCAACCAAATCTACGCTCTCAGCGCTTCTTTCAATATTAAATATGCGAAAATACTCGATTTTTCAGAAATTGTACAGATTATTAAAGATTTTAATCTTTAATACGATAATTTAATTTAAGAATAAATACCTCTTGAAAAATACAATTGTTGCTCTGAACAGCGTCCGCGCTGTAACAACAGGCATGAGTCGCCATTACCCGCCACTCCCGCAACTTTAACCAATTTTATTTAGACTAAATACAGCATCGGACTCCTTGATGCTTTTCGAATGTGATGAAACGGAAATAGCGTGTATATACCTGTAATGTCTTGTAGAAGCTCTTTTGAGTTTAATCATTAGTAATTTAGCGCTTGTTGTTTAATTGTTTTTCAAGTGTTGCTGAATTGACATTAGAAGGAATTGTTACTTATCACATTCTTAACATTAGTAATAATACGAGAAAATATGCTCGCGTCGCTCCACTTATTTGATAATATCCTCTCACTTCTAAACGACTCCGCGATTTCCGTCTTCCTGTATTCACAATATTACGAGATACTTGCTAACAATAAGTTACATTACGTATTTCCAATAAGCCCCTCAGTATCGATAAGTATTTACCTTTCTACCTTTGCTTAGAAACGCTTCCGTTTCTGCACAGCAGTTTTGACTGATTTCTCTCATTCTTCAACGTCCAGAAAACCAGCCATAGTGAGTCGAAGAGTCTATCATATTTCTAAGTGTAAGCAAGAATAATTAGTTGTTTATGTACCAACACGTTATTAGGTTTTCTAATGATCCGAGCGACGACAAAAAAAAGTCTTTGGCTTGAGGGACTTTTTGTCGCCCGACATCATTAGAACCAGTTGACGCTGCGCACAAATATGGGTCATTTTACTAAGTCATTTTATCTAATTTTTATGATTCGGATTTATTAATATTAATCAACTACATGTAATCTACTCTGTCTTTCAAATTTTCGCTCCATAATTCTCTTTCATAATTTCTCTCTCATAAATCCCTCCAATTCTCTTCTTTCTTCTCATAATTACATTCATATGAAGAACATGTAGCATCATTTGACTGTTTTGTTTCCTTTCCATTGCAACCATGACCCTCTCGATTACAGTTCGGTGAATTATATAGAATGCGATGAATTTAACAGAATCCTTCTACGGGAATCTAAACTTCTGAGGCAAACGTTATTTACAGCAACAAATATGAAGAACTTGAAGGTGTATAATTTATCACCTGAAATAACTCACTTGTGTATACAAGTAAGGTTGGGGCACTAAATAAGATAAAATCACACGGCCAGCGTCTCTACTATTGATAAATGGTAATACTTTCTACATACCCTAAGTTGCAGGAATTTCGACACTGGCCCTTACAGTAGGTCGGATT